ACAAGACTGCTCTGCTTCCTGGCGCGTAGCGAGCACAAGCTAGCGGCTTTTGGCCGCGACACCGTCCAACTCCGCCAGTTCGGGGGTCCAAAACGACGGCTTCCGGCGGCTGTCTGCCGGGACTGCCACCTTGGCGGCCCGCCGTCTGCCTGGCGTAATTCGTTGTTCTGCGCCGCCCATGTTGCCCCCATACCCCGTGGAATCCTGCGGAGCTGATTGACTGCGTGGCGATATCTCCTCCGGTTGGCCTCCCCCGCGTAGGCAAACTTCGGGAAGGCCTCGGTGGGTTGGCGGGCGCGCTATCGCACACTGATCTCGCCGCGGGATCCGGGTGGAATATCGCGACCCCAACCCACCGCAGTTGCCTCGCCTTCTGCGCGGGGCAGCTTCTCCAACTCCACCCCGGCGACACCGTCAGCTCCATTCATACCACCGCCCCGACAGGTGCGAGCAACGCCGCAGTGCCGAAACCCCAACAGGATGGAGCTATTTACTTGAGTATAAGAGAAAAAAGGCATGGAGAAAAAAAAGGATTTGGTGGTTGCTGAAGGCGCCTCGTGAGCGTGTTGGGAGAGAAGTAGGTGAGCAGTTAAATATTGCACCTGTTTTTTTTTTGTGGTTATTATGTTAAGTTTTATTTTCTTCTTCCACGTTCCTAACGGAGATGTTTCGCGTATTTGGCCACACAGCCTTGGTAGCGCGTTGTGCCTGCCCTGGCTTTTTTTTCTTTTGTTATTACTAACAGTGGAGGGAGCAGTTATCGTCGTTTTTTTGTTTTATCTTGTTTTTATAAACTCGCAGGCGGCCTCTCCGTCAGAGCCCACCACCCCATTCTTTTCTCATCCGTGTGCGGTACACGCGTGTGTCTTCGCCTCTTCCCTCGCGTCCTCTGGTGCCGCTTGCATGTCCAAGAAGTGACTCCCCCGTACCCTTCACAGAGAGAGAGACGCAGATGGTGGTGGGATGGCAAAAACACAAAACAAAAATGAAAGGACAAGCAACAACAGCAGCGACTGAAAGGATATATATGAACGAGCGTTGGGAAGACGACGACTTCAGTGGGGCACACTCACACAATAACAATAGTGAGGGTGCAAAAGAAAGAGGAGGAGAAGGAAGTAGAAAAGTAAAAATGAAAAGAAAAACAAAGCAAAGCAAAAGAAAAGAAAAACAAGAGCCGCGCCCGCAGGCACACGAAGAGAGAATCTGACGCTGCAACGACGACAGTCGCCCCACTCCCCCCCTCCTCCTCCTCGTTCCCCTCATCCTTCCTTCCCTCCTTCCTTGTCCTCGCCGTTGGCTCACCAGTTGAAACTCGCGCCGGCGCCCACACCAGTCTCGACAGTCTCTGTTTTCTTCTCGCTTTTAGCCGCCTTTTTTTCCCCCCTTTTATTATTAGCTGTTATTTTTCCTCCTCCTTCATGACTTCTGGTCCCCTCCTCTATTCCCGTCTTCTTTGCTCCTCTCTGACTTTATATTGCCACTGCTGGGTCAACGACGGAGCGCCTCCCACTTGCTGTCGTCCCTCGGTGCCACTGAGGGCTTCGGTGGGCCCCGGTGACCCCCGCGCCCAGCCCCATCGCGTGGCCAACTTCCTCTGGAGCCCTCATTACCATCGTTGTTGCTGACTTCTCCTCCATGGCCCGTTCCAGGCGCAGTTGGTGGTGGTGGCGGCGGCTGCGTCACGGGCTCGTCACGCCAGTTTGCCAGACCACCTGCCGCGACAGGGCTCTGCCGCTTGCTGTTGCGACCACCGCCTGTGCCGCCTCGACGGTCGAGCTCGGCATCGCTTCTGCGGCTCTCACGCGAGCCTGGATGAAAGTCAGGCTGCACCACGGGGCCCTCATTTCGCCAGCTCGAGAAATCCGGTGGACCTAGCGGACTTGCCACACCCTCAGGTCTTCGGGTAGCAGCTCCCAACGTGTCGCGAGAAAGATCAGCTAGCATATGGAGATCGTTCCTGGAGCCAAACCCAGATCGCGATCCAGTCTCTCGTTCCGTGGTTTGCGTGGAACCAAATGCGTCGCGGGTAAAGTTTATCTGCTGCAACCCTGCACCTTGCTGTGACTGTCCTGCATTTTGTCGTGAAAGCCCACTGTGTCCGTGAAGCCGCTCCACTTGTTTCTGCGTGGCTAAGTCTACGTAAAGCTTGCGGCCCTTTACCATGGTCTGATCCATGGCAAGCGCGATGGCGAGAGCCTGAGCCGTTTTGAACTCCACAAACGCAAAACTCTTTCCATCCTGGCTAATGAGTCGTGAGGTGACAATACAATCCTCGTGGAAATTGCGCAGAAACTCCTCCTCGGTGGTTCCGTTGCGAAGGTTGCCAAAGTGTGCCACGAATGGCGGCTGGAGGTCATCCACACCTCTGGCACCGTTGACCTGCTCGCTTGGGATATCGCGAAACCCGCTTTTCTCCACAAGTGCGTTCTTTGCTGTACGGCTGTAGTCCCGCTTGGCGAGCTTCTCCTGCACCACCTCATCCTGGGTCTTTTCCCGTGGAGCCTCCACCGCCCAGTCTAAGTTGTCCTCGGGGATGTACTCATCGTTGAAGTCCACAAGGTTGATTGTCTTTCCACGCCCCCCTTTCTTTTTCGCTGGCATGTTGTTGTGTTATATAAATATTTATTTTGCTTGTTAGTATTTGCGTGTTCCTATTATTTTTACTTTTCCCCCTTTTGTTTATTTCTTATCTTGCCCGCCCTGCGTGCTATCCGTGCCGTACAAGGGGAGGAAGATAAGTAAAAAAAAGTCTCTGTTTTTTTTTCGTTCTCGTCGTGTCTCAAGCACCCTAAGGGGTAGCTGCAAGTTATGGATCAATATGTTTCCTTCTTGATCCCTGTTTCGCCTTCTTACCAGATGAATGTTATTGATGTGTGTGCAAGTTTCGTTGTTGTTGTTTTTTTCTTTCTTGTCACCTCCTTAGCCGTTTGTGTTATCGATACCGTTTGCGTGTATGTGTCTATTTATTGTCAGCCGCCTTCGGGTGCTGTGGATATCCGCCTCACGCAATGCTCCTCGCACTCCCCCTCCTCTCGTGGTCCGAAGAAGTACTTCTCGCGTGGGTGGCAGCTGCGGGAGGGATCGTGGCGGTATGGCGCGGGACTGCAAGTGATGTACGTGGAACTATAGATGTATCTGCTTGTAGAGACTTGGTTAGCTCAGAAAGGCGCGTGTGTTGTACCCCCGCTGCCCGAGAAACGAAGAAGGGGCGGAAGAAGCAGAAGTATAATAAAAAAAACAAAAAAGGCTCCTCCCCACCCACCCACTCAAGTGAAGAAAGTTATGCGATGCCGCCCGCTAGGCCACCCCTCTCTCTCCTCACACATCCACGCACATACATATGCACGGCAGAGGCTGGCGCAGGCCACCACGCAAAGGTCCCCGCCTCCCACGTTGCCTCACATACAATGTTGCAACTGAAAAGGAGAGAATACAATATATATATATATATATATATATATATATTAAAAAAAAGAGCACGCCTAGAGACGCACGACAGCAATCACTGCTCCGCTGGTAGGAAAACCTCGCCCACGTTCATTGCATTGCCCTTCTTCTCCGTCACCTTCCCTTTCATACGTCTCATTCATTGAGGGCCCCACTTTACGAGGACGTTGGCCCCGCCGACGTCATTACCTTGGGCACTACGGAAGTCGGAGAACCCGATGGGCCCGACAAGCGGCGTACCCTTAAACTTCCGGTTGAGGCTCGACTGGCACTTGACCTCCGTGAGAGAAAACTGCCACTGTGCGCTAATTTGTCCTCATGCGGTCGCAGCGCCGCACGTGCCTCCTCCATCCGCTGTTCCAAAAGCATCAAAAGTGGCTCCTTGTCGTTCTCGCGGCACCTCCCTCGCAACTCCTCGGCCCTTCGCAGCGTGGCTTCCAACGCACCCCGATGAATCCCCGCCTCCTCCCTTGCCGCGTTAACTGAGAGCCGCAGCCTAACGCACTCGTCCTCAAACTCCTTAACGCGCTTCCGCTGGGAACCCTGCAGATTTTGGTGCGAGTCGGCAAGCTTCATAAACTGCACCTGAGCTCCCTTTAGCTCCAAATGCAAATGAAGTGTTTCGAGGTCTTTGGCGTGCGACTCCACCTCCACGTGGTATGAATTGTTTGCCGGGCCGTCAGCCTTATTCCGCGCGTTGCCCTCCGAAAAGGCCAGTGCGGCGACATTCTTAATATTTGTACCACGCCGTAGGTGATAGCATAACTCCTTTCGCTTTTGTAACAAGAGGGCCTTCTCTGCTAGAAGCTCGCCTTTTTCAATTCGCCACGCCTCCTCCTCGTGCGTCATTTCAGCGTCATCATCCGCATCCTTGTGCCTATCTTCCTCCAGGTGCCGTTCTCCAGCGGCATTGCTGCCCTTATTCTTTGCATTCTCCTCGTGGGCGACAGAGCCCTTTTTTGCATACTTGCCGTTGTGGCTTTCGAGTTGGCGTGCCTTGGCGGCCAGGAGCTCCCCGTCTACCGCCTCCTGCGTCCTCAGCAGTGCCTCTATCTCACGCTGAATGCCTTGAAGTGCCTTCTCAGTGCTCATTAAGTAGAGCTTGTAGCAATTCGTGTCCTCCACGCCATTTAGCGTCTTCCCCAACGCATCCAGCTCATTAAGAAGGTAGGTTGCATGTGACTGCAGCAACACCGGCGCTGGGGCAAAAGCGGGTCGCCCCGGCGGGGCCGATTCCGATATCTCCCTTCCTGATGCAGTGTGACGTTTGTATTTGCCTACGGTGCCACCATCGTCCATACAACGGGCGCCCCTTGCGGTGTTCCTGCCCCGCGGGCTGGCAAACATGTCCCTAGCGACATCCTTGTCAAGCCCCAATTTTGTCGGCCTCACGCCGACCTGCGATGCGGCTGCAGACCTGACAACGGGGTGCGGCGTCGGTGGAGGCAATGCCGATGGAAGACTCTCATCATCATCATATTCGTCGTACGTGTGTGAGCTGTCGACAACCTCGAAGCACAGGCTCGAGGAACTGCGCTGACGCGACGACTTGGCCGTCGTCGAGGTACGTGGCACATAGAGACCAGGCAGTGGAGTTTCCTCCATCGCTTCAAGCGCCCTCTGCAGTTCCGCTTCAGGGCCAATGAGCGGAGACGCCCGACGAAGTTCCCCTCCGGGACTCCTACTTTGCTCCATTTCAAAGGTGATACTTTTCTGCTCGCCCACGATGGTGGATGACTCACTCATGAAATCACAGCTCAACGATGGTGCCGACTCAGCAACGACGCTTTCCCCACTCCAAGCGGTGTTCCCACTACCAGCGGCTTGCGGTATGAGCCGCTTCATCTGTGCCTGCACTGGTAAAGGTAAAATTCCGGCGCCGGAAAGCCCTGAACTCAAATAGTACCGGCGTGACGCTCGCGTTGGTGTTGAGCGTGGCGGCCCGCCGGGTTTTCGCCGTCCTGCCGCAAGTGACGGACCGCGAGTTTTTGGGACCGGTGGCGGAACCAAAGTGACAAAAGTTGCCTCTGAGTAGTTGTCTCCCCGATTGGTGTCCATTGTGCACTAAGACTGGGGATGTCGTGTATGTGTTGCGTGTATATATATATATATATATATATATATATATTATATTATATTATATTATATATATATGAATCGGTGTATATTAATTGCTTCCACGCCTGTGTGATAGGGGAGGGAGGGAGACGGATGCACACGCGGAGTCCGTTTGTTTCTTCCTTTCCCCCTTCGTTTCACAGCTGCAAGCGACTCACGCCAGGAGGAAGCATAATAATAAAGGGAGAGAGGATGAAACGCGTGGGTGGGGATTGGCAGCGGAGCTTTTTACCCCCCTCCCCCCTCGTCTGACGTCTTTGCCGCAGCTGCGGTAAAACTACCACCTCAAGACAAACAAACACACACGTATAGTGCTGGGGTGGGAGCACGGAATGCGCGACAGCGGCGCAGATAAAACACCAAAAGAGCCGCCGCCATCCGTCTGCTTTCTAACACAGAAACATAATATTAATCACTATATTTACATATATATATATATATATATATATATGGGAAAGTCAGTAATGTGTGAATACAAATTTCCTCCCGCCACTTCATTACTCTTTTCCCCCCTTCTCTACCTTCCTTCCATTCTCCCCTCTTCCTCCCCCTTATCCCCGTTAACTTCTGTTGCTATGGGAACACACACCATGTGCATCTGCTGCAGGCAAACCATATGGGTAACCAACGAGGCCGCCAAGTGCGTAACACGTCGCCCCCTTCTTTCTCTTTCTCCAACTGCAACTGCAACTGTTTTTGTTTTTGTTTATTATTACTTTCTTTCTATTTTTCGCTTTCGCGCTGTTGCCTTGCTACTTTCCTCCTCCACAGCACTGCCTTTCCTCCTCCCTCCTGTCTCGGGGAGGACTGAGAGAAGATATGGATGCCACCGCAGCACAACAACAGCCAGCATCAAGGGCTGCTGCGGGGTGTTGCGTGAGACGCCGCCAGGCCACACACACGCTCGCTGAGGCGGAAGAGGAAGGCACCCCCCGTCCTGGAGCAACAATAAGCCTTACTCTCCCCCACGCTCCCTTTTATTGCCTTTTCGTGCTCTTTCTGCTCCTCACACATGTCGTCCCACCCATCCACGCTGGAGAACGACACGCGCTATGGGCGGAGCGCATAGGCGTCCCCCTCACCGCCGCAGACGATGAAACACACACACACACACACACACACACACACACACACACACAACCGAAAACAAAGACAACGAACCACCAGAACAAGAAC